TCTGAGGGAATTTAGTACCAGTAAAAGGTTCTGAACTGATCACTGGAGACTACAGCCTTTTGTTTAGCCACATAATAGCACGTAGAAAGGGTCTAATATGAACTTCCCCACGCTGCACGTTCAGGGCATCTGACGTGCCCTGGAGGAGTGCTGCCTAGTGACAAAAAGATACTCCAGTGTCCAGGCCTGGTCAGTCTTTGACCTACCTATCTGCTAAAACTGCTGACAAAATGAGTTTCTTTGTGGGTTTGTCGCTCTTGTAGCAATATTTTAAATCACTCATGACCATCTGATGGCTGTCTGGTGGTCTAGGAAAAATGCCTCACTCGGATAGCTAGCACTTACTGCCTTTACTGCATGTTAGTAGTGGTAGAACTAACCCCTGCCCTGCAGATGGGTCATTCAGGTCAGATCTGAGGCACATCGAGATGTGCTGTGGGGGCACTTACCTTGTGCCTGTTCTTTGGATACCCAGCAAACTTCAGACTCTAGGGTGATGAAGCAACATCTTTCACCAGCTCTAAACATTTTAAAATGCTGCTGAAAATTTTGGAGAGCTATTACTCATTGTGGACTGTCAATCCACTTATCATTATTTCTTTTAGTGGAGTGGATTTGTGACCTTCAGTGTAACCCGTTATGAAGGAACTGACACACAGGCCTTTAGTGCCTTGTACTTATTTCTTCATAGTCACGTTTATATGGTGATGTAACAATCACCATGTGTACGGTACCTGAGATTTTTCAAGCCTCAGTAATTGATTTGTCCGGTATTGCCAACATCAGATGTTTAAAATCATGACTCAAACTCCCCCCAAAATAATGAGATTGGTCTTTAAAAAAAATCCTAAAATTATCTTTTTTGTTTTTTTGTTTTAAATGATACCTTTTTAGGTTCTTTTCATTTGCCTTCTGCTTTTTGAATCTCTAGTCTACGGCACTCTCAGGGCACATTTTCAAGCTTTTGTCCAAAACCAGGATGGGTAGATTCTTACTCTTAAAATAACAATAACAATCATAAAAGCTGAGATTCTCTCCTAATCACTTGTCTCCGAGAGCTGGGCCTTCGCCTAAACTTCAAACATTGGGAAACTTGTGATTAAAATTGTGAGTTGGCAACATTGCTTCTTTGAAATAATTATAGGTGTTTTTTGTGTGTTTTTTTTCTGTTTTTTCTTTCTTTCTCTTTTTTTTTTTTTTTACAAATTCTGGAAGATTCTACTCCAATTTGCCAAAATCCCAAATGTGAAGATTAATAAAAACAATTTTTTCTTGGAACTTGAAGAACCGAAAGGGGCACAAACCACGTGTTTATTTCTTTGAATTCCAAAGCTTGAAAATATGAGACTCTCCAAGAGTATATCTACACTGTAGTAAAAAACCTGTAGCATTGAGTCTCTGAGGCTGGATCTCGGGCTTCGAGACCCTACCTGCTCGCAGGGTCTCAGAGCCTGGGCTTCAGCCTGAACCTGAACATCTGCACTGCTGTTTTTAGCCCTGCATCTTGAGGCCGGGGAGGGATAGCTCAGTGGTTTGAGCATTGGCCTGCTAAACTCAGGGTTGTGAGTTCAATCCTTGAGGGGGCCATTTAGGGATCTGGGGCAAAAATCTGTCTGGCGCTTGGTCCTGCTTTGAGCAGAGGGCTGGACTAGATGACCTCCTGAGGTCCCTTCCAATGCTGATATTCTATGATTCGGGCCAGGTCTTGTATTGCAGTGTAGACATACCTGAAATGATAGTGCATCTCTTGTTGACGATGTCTCTTTGGTTCCCTCAGTGCATACAGCCTTGCACCTACCAGGCCTTTCACACTAGTAAATGTTGTGTGCACATAAATGAAGGCATTAGTATCCTGCTAAATGCATGGAAGCAAATAGATGCAGACACTGGATATAACGGGTCCAGCACAGAAATAGGAATAGACGTAACCTTAGGGTTACCATATCTATTAAATAAAAAAAGAGGACCCACCACGGGCCCTGGCCCCGCCCTAACTCCGCCCCCTCCTCCCTCCCACTCCCAGCCACGCGGAAAGGGTTGCCCGAGTGCTACCGGCTTCACGGTTTGCCGGGCAGCCCCCAGACCCTGCGCCCCCCGCCGGCGCTTCTCCAGTGCAGTTGGAGCCTGGGAGGGGAAGCGCCCAGCCGGGGGCGCAGGGTCTGGGAGGC